GTTTAAATTTGGTACATATGTTGGATATAATGAGAAATCGATGCACGCCATTTGTTTGGATCGGATTAAGGATGGCCGACAGGCGCCCATTTTTTTTAAACAAATTAATGACAATGCCACTATAACGATCCGACAGTACAGTTTACAGTACAACTTTTGGTTGTCTGGAGACAATATGCTGATGAATGGCGGACACGACACGACATGTGTGTTCCTACCAGTTTCACAGTGTTTTCCTTCGAATGACGTCATAGAACAGTCACAATAGTAGGAACCACCAGTGTTGACACACACGCCATTGTTCAGACACAGTAAATGTGAGGCAGCGCACTCATCGATATCTGAATATAATGCACACAGTTATGGTTAATTATTACGTCATCCCAATTTTATATATGTACTCAATACTCATTATGATATATCACTCCGCCATGTCACTGTCACCAAATAACTGCTGTATTACTATGTGTACTGTGTAATCAACAACGAAATCGTTAATGGTTTGCACATCGCAAGATTAATTACGATATACTGCCATTGTGGTATACATTATGATTTATTTTGTTTTTATGACAATGGTATTCGTCAATGACAAGTGTTTTTTTCTAATCATCCGGGAACAAAGAGTCGCTACTATGACGTCATTATGACGAGGATGGTTGCATTCATTATCTTTCGGTTTGGTTGTTTCGTCTTAATTGACGGACGGCCGCCGAGGCATTGACGCTGTGAACGGCTGTAAATCAAATACAATGTACATACATCCATCCCTACGGTTTCTACAGATAGACAGCTTGTAGTAAAAACAGTAAAAACTTTTTTTTTTAAATCTTTAAAACACTCTTCTATACCGACAAGTGATAATATTGTTCTTAGCTGTGAACGTATTCTCTTTTGATTTCCCCAAAAATGTACACTATTAAGCCATCTTATTTCAATAGGTAAATATGTTTTATATATGTGCCGCTTTACAAATGTAACGCCTTCTCTTGATTATTTTATAAAGATTGTCAAAGAAAAGAAATGTATTGAAAAAAATGTCTTGAACAAAACAAAGCACGTCTGATCGTCCCCTGTGCTAAACTATTTTTGTAATGTTTTGTAAGTCGTGTCTGTGACGTTTTTACTGTTATGTGAACCATTGTACGTGTAATTATTATTAGAAAATAAAATTTTATTAAAAAACAAAAAAACAAAAAAAAAACAATCTTCCCAATGAAACTACTTGACAATATAACCATACAACCACTCACAGCAAAAATAACTAACGACGTTGCTTGAAAACAGAAGATGTTCACAGTTGGTTTTAGTACAGGGTTGTTTGTGAAAGTTATGAGATTCAGCCCATCCCAAAAATCTCCTTCTATGGTTAAGTTTTTAACCCATAATCCTTTGCAAATTCCAATATGGTAGAAACACAAGTGTCATGGCGCACCAAGCCGGAAACCAGAGAAAATTCCATCCTATTTGTGCCAAAGCGCATCGACGCAAGAGGGCGCGCTTTACGATCTGTGCACATAGTATTCCTTACCCAATTCACAATGTACCCCTTCATAACCATTGTCACCACAGGAACACTTGTATGACCCAGGCAAGTTTTGACATATACTATCATGCTCGCAAAGAGTATCAGTTGCACATTCGTCAATGTCTAAAATAAAAAATAAACTTCTTATGATTTGACGGTCGTCATGGCTACAGTGACAGCCCGTCGCATTAACATGCTGCCTAAAGATATCAAGATCCCAATGTTCATAACTTGTTATCGTGTTTCACATTGAGCTTTAACACCATCATTAACACCAAACATAAAGGGCGGTAGTCGTGGCGCATGCGCGAGATATATGGGTCTCATATAAACAAAGATGGCGACTTTGACCGTTGCACAGATCAACGAGTACTAAATGAGACGTTTCCAAGCTTTAATTAGATATTTTTAGGTGATTTGAAGGTATCAAAGGAGTAACCGGCTGTATTCAGTGCAAGTCGCGCCAAGGCCAAACCTCATACTTGGGATTTCCATTTGAAGAGCGCGTTGGATTGTGGGGAAATCAATGTTTATCAACACAAATGTCGCACATGCGCAGCGCGACGACCACCGCGCTTTAACCTGTGTTGGCTACGTGCTCCCGCGTTAGAATTTACACCACGCGAGAACTAGTCATTGACATAAAAGAATATCGATACTAAGGCTGTTTTAGCTGCTATTTGATAGTACTAGGTACAACTACGGAGTATCCTGGATATTTCTAACGAGACTAAAACACCTTCCTCATTACATAATTTTACCAGTGTCACAGATCAGTCCGCTATATCCGGTTCCGGTACAGTCACACTCATACCCGCCAGGCGCATTGATACATTCTCCTTGATTCTTACAGGGAAGTAAGTCACATTCGTTTAAATCTAAAACCGCAAAAAGTAAAGGCATGTAACACAATATAATAAAGGTAAATTCAGTATTAATTGAATGCGGCATATACAAAAATGAGTAATGTGCAAATATCTAAAACACACCAACTTACCCATAATGCATGTACTGCCATGGTAACCGGTTCCCTCGCAGTCACAAATAAAAGATCCATGTGTGTTTATGCATTTGCCATTGTTTGCACACTGGTCATCCTGTTTACACTCATTTATATCTGAAATATCAATGCGCAACTTTATATTGCACTGTGGGATATGTGTGTACAAGTAATGACAGCTTTTAATCCACCATACTGCTTCCGGTGACAAATTCAAGTTTGTTTTTTAGAAATATGTGGGTTATTACGTGAAGTGACCAGGATAGTGATGGCGACGTTTGAAAGTTCCTTCAATTTTAAAGCGAGAGGGTCGTTACCTGCGCACGTGCGAGAATTGAGTCCCAAGCGATGATAACAACACACGCTAAGAACGCAAAAGCTCGTGGGTAGACGCTTGTTTGTAAAACAATGACACGCTATGGTCACCTGACGTAGGTGACGACTCCCCCGCTTTAAGTAACTTCAAAAATAAAATAAAAAAAATAAAATCTAAATGCAACGCTATTATTTGTCTTCATTACAATAAATTCCATCGTGCATTGTTGTTGGTAATCTGCTTCGGGTGGACGCTAAACACTAACC